ACATTTGTTGCCTTCTGTTATTCCTGTATAACCCTTAAAAATGCTTAGTCCTTTTTCTTAATACTTCAGAAATTGGCAGTTTTAGTAGAAGTCTTAGCTATTAGAATAGATGCAGGCAACTCTCTCTTTGTGTGTTGTTCTGCAGTATGTGCTCATTGTAGGAAATTACCTAAATGTGAAAGAACAATTAACATACTTGTAACAATGTGCTGTCCTGATCCTGCAATGTGATGCATGCAGGCAAACCTCTACTCCCATGTGGAACCCTGTTGATTTCCATTGTAGGATTGAAGCCAAAGCAAGCACCAAGTCCTGCTACCCTTACTCATACAAGCAATATATTGAAGCCAAATAAAGTGCTCCATGTGAGTAAAGGATGGATCATTTATTTAGCTGTCTTTGATACATTATTGAATCTTTTGTGCAGTGTATGAATTATTTTCAGCTTATTTGCTTTTTAAATAGCACCAAAACAGTACAGCTAATTTCAATGATTGAACAAAGGAATTTTTTTTTTTTACAGCAAAAGCATGACAATTTAAAACCTCTTTCCATTTAAAAAATGGTTTTGATATCTTTTCATGATTATATCATTTATTTCAAAGATGAGTCCGCTCCCTACTTGGATTCAGCTTTTAGCGCCTAAAACCAGTGGAATCTTATGTTGGTTAAAATCATACATGGCTTACTATTAGAGCTATATATCAAAATGAACACAGAGTGCCAACTTTCTTTGGAATAGCAACACTGAATTCATGTTCTGGAAGTCTACAGATTATATCACTTTTTTTATCATGACAGGAGTTGGCTTTCAGATCTTTCTGTTAAAATACAAAATAATCTTTCTTGTACATTTCATTAAAATGTGCACCTCTGTGAGCTTTAAAGGGAATATCTCACTTTCATTTGTTTTATCCATTGCACGAGGCAAAAAATTACAAAATACACAAAGAGCCTAATTCAGCACTTAAAGCACATGCTGGACTTTGACTTCCATGGGACTATTCAGGTGTTTAAAGTAAGCGCTTTGCTGGATTGGGGCCATAATGTGAAAACTGAACCTGTTTAAAAAAAGGACCTTTTCCTTCCCCATCTGAAGAAACTCCACAATATTTAGAACTGATCAGGAATTTTCCTTCAGAATGATTATTAGGCTTGATTTTATATTTTTTTTTGTTGTAGAGACATACCGAAAACAAAGCCTGGTGCAATTGAGACCTGGTCTACACCAGGCTAAAATTTAGGTCGGCTTGCCTACATTGCTCAGAGGTGTGAACAGTTCCTAAGCTCCAGTGTAGGAACTGCTAGATCGATGGCAGAACCTAGCTACTGCCTCTTGAGGGGGTAGGTTTACTATAGTGACAGAAACTATCTCTCTGTCTATACCATAGGGGCATAGCTGCAGCTGAGCCACTGTAATGCTTGTAATGTAAACATACCCTAAGACTACACTACCTAAACCTCTGGACTCCCACTCCCATGGCTGATGATCATTTGTATTTACTGTATTCGGCCTAGAGGAGGCATGGTCTATCTGACTGATGTGCGCTGATACTTTTATGTGTTAATAGGAACATTTGTGGAGATCCTCATATATTCCACCTTTCTATTAAAAGGAAGCTCTACGCAGGTTGGTGATTGGCCTGGACAAGGGATAGGGCAGGGAAGGAATGGGCTGGAATGTGATGGCTCTATCTGAAGGAGTGGTGGAATTGGCTTTGAAAGGAACAGGTGGGAAATGGCCCTTTATGCAAGGGTGGGGCATTACCTGTGAAAGGGACAGAGGAGGGGGAAAGCCAAAAGATGGTGCATGATTATAAAAACGTATAAAGACATTGTTAAAAATATTTCTATATACTGACATGCTTTGTGTTCACATTTTATATATCTGTACAGGTTAGCGATGTCTGCCCATAGGTTAATTTCCAACCGAACATCTCAGCAAGCTTTATCTAACTCTGATTACACTTGGGAGTATGAGTACTATGAGTATGGACCAGTTTCCTTTGAAGGACTGAAAGCTCATAAATGTAAGTCCTATCTGGCAGTTCTGTATTCTATGCTTTGAAGTTCCTGGTGTATTCTTAATGGATAGCTTTTCAAAAACCCTTTTCTGTGAATTGATTATCCCACACACAGCTCCTTGAATAAATAGCATCACTGATTTCTCTTTGTTGAAGTATTTTTTTTTCTTATTCATATCAGTACCTAGAGATAGCCTGGATACCAGTTCTTTGGTTCAAATAGAAATTTCCCCATACTTTATGATCCACTGCAACATCCAGTTGCTTTATGGAGAAGAAAAAAGTTCTCACTGATAAGAAAAGAAACGTGGCTGCTTTGTTCTTGTTAAAATATATATGAAAAACGATTAAGGTTTAAAACAAATTTTGAAAATTCTCTTTCAGGTGAGACCTTTTATCATTATATGTTTGCTAATAGTGGTGACCATTAAAACAAGTATATGTAAATAAGAAAAGATCAAACGTGAGTAAGGGTCTCAAGGGTTCAGGGAATAGAATACAGAGATCTGGCTTACTGATAGTGTTGGGTGTTGCCCTCTGAAAGCTATTTGGTGGCTTGTGCCAAAGATATTGGTGGTGTCAGCTAGTTCCCATTGTCCATGTCAGCACCATAATCTGCACTGCTTGTTATAAATCAATTATATAAAACAAATAGAGGGAACTTTTTAAATTTTAGAATCAGTTTATAGTCTACAAACCGTAGGTTTGTATTTAGTCATTAGTCAGAAGGATCAAATTCACTATCAACTATTGTAATTATAATTAAGTAGTGGTGGATAGGGAGAATAGCCTGTTCCAGACAGCATGCTGAATCAATATGAAATGTCATGTATTTCATATTTATGCAGTTGTCATCAGAATGGAATCAATGTCCTGTGTGTTCTACAGTCTTACTGTATAACCTATTTTGAAATATTATTTGATAAATAGGAATATATCAAGGTAAGGAGCTGTATAGTAGGCTATTGCAGAGATCTGCATTAGGTTTGTTATTATTTAACATCTTTAATGATACGGAGTGGGCTAAACCACATGCTTATTCCCATATTATACTCATGTGAAAATTGTCAATCAGCAGTTCAGACCAAAAAAAATCATACAAAGGTGTAACAGAGAGGTTAGAAATAAAATGAGTTTCATCTTGGACAAATACAAGGTAATACAACTGGGAAACATACAAAATCTAGTCAGAGGACTTGATTCTGATCTTCCTGGTGATTTTACAGTATCTAACTAATGCATGGGCTTACTGTAATTCCCGATGACTCTGACACTATTGCGTAGAGAAAAGTCCTAGAGGCTTAAAGTTCTTGCATGAAGAGAGAGTTGGTTTTAATGGCAACTCAACTGTATTCAGTAGAATTCACCCTCTGCCCAGGAAATCAGCTGCAAGACAAGTAGAATTTTAAGGCTATAGGACTGTATTACAGAGCTAAAATATGCAGTTGGTTCTTGCCCACTGCAGGAAAAGCTTCTGAATGGGCACACCCATGTGCTGCAAAAGCAACATTAATGTGGGTGCATGGGGGCGTCAAGATAAGAGTAGGTGCTTTGGTATTAGTGTTGAGGGCCATATAAGTACCTGGGTGGATGGATGCCAAAGTGTCAAACAAAACTTGTTTGCCAGGGAATATAAACAACTTTAAAGGGAGAGGGCTGTACCTGAACTTGCATTTCAGCCTTAATTATAGCATGCTTCACTGTGCCTGCTGGCATTGTCAGACCCTTATGACTCATTTGGTTTTTATTTTTTAAAGACTAGATATTTGACAAAAGTAGGTTCTTAAAGATATCTCACTTTAATCCTGTTCTCCCTGATTTGTATTCCATTTAGCCAGAGACTGAACCTGGAGGTACTGATTTTGAAGATTTGCTATATTATCACATTTAGTCACATATTAGACAAAAGTAAAAGAGGAAAGATATAACTGATAGTTGCCTCTGGGTCTCATAAAGTCTAGCCCCACAGACCTTTGCTGAACTCTATTTAAACTAATTATCATGACTGGCATGGCAAACCAGCGGGTTTCACTGTCAGATATTTTATGGAGTTCTTGAGTAACTAATTCAGCTCAATTTAAATTAAATTTTAGTTGCCATAGGCACCTGTCTTTAGTGTGCATCAAAGCAACCCAGTGTTTTGATAATACCAAATGTATAAATAGGACCCAATCCCGTGGCCCTGAATTAGTTGGGATGGTAATGGGTGCAATTCCTTTGAAATACTGGTGAAAAGTGGGCACAACTCCATTGTCTTCAGTGGAATTGCATCCACTTTTTCCAATGCTGAATTGTGTTCACTGACTCCTGAAGGAACTTTTGAGTGACTAAGGGCTGAAGGATCTTCCCTGACCCTTTGCAGCCCTTCACTTTAATTGATTCTGGAAGCATGGCAGGACTGTGTGAACGCAACAGTTTGACAAGAGTGCAGGGTCCCCATTACACAAGAGGTAACTTTAGCTCCTTTTCTCCCTTGCCCTGCGTAGGGCTGCAGGTGAGAGAGAAGTGGAAAGGCATGATGATGATGGTTCCATACTCAAGTGGTTAGTGAACCCTAACCTGAGGAAGCTTTTGGTTGTGTCTGTGTTTGATAATGGTAACTTGATTTATGCTGATAAAGATTTGCTCCTGCTGTTTCATTTGTGGTGAATCATGTAGTTTACAAGCAATTTATTAAGATCATGTTTTGGTTTTATTTATTTTTCATCGGTTTCCTCCAGCTCTTACTAGAGGCGGGACCCAATTTATGAACCTGAACTTTTCATAGGTGCTTCCATTCTAACCTCCTTTTTCAAAGAAATAACTTTTACGTTTCAGCATGAAATCTTCCCAGTGTTGGTCTCTGCCCAAAGGTGGATTTATATGGAAAGTTCAAGCACCAACCCCCTCTGCACCTCCCCCCACCCCCAAAAACAAAACACCCCAGCCTTTTTTTGAGTAACCAAAGGTGGTGCTGCAGGATGTCCCAGTTAATGGGAGTACTTTTCAGAGTTACCACTGCCTTAAGAAGAATTAGAGAATGGACTGGATTAATGCTTTCTCTGGCACCTGTCCTCTTTCCTCATTAGTTTATTAATAGTGATAGCTGTTAGAGCTGGTTACAATAAACTAGTTATTTCTTGGTGAAGGAGGAGACACATCATGGGAACAGTTATATATTGAATTCATACTAATGTGCTCGATTCCAAACAGTGATCATAGTCAAATTAATGTAGAAATCTTGATGTTATTAGGAGAGAGGCTATATTTGAATATCCTGGAGCATTACACTATGAAAAATGGATGCCAACTGTGGTGTGTCTGCCAATTTGCTTACCTGTGGTCTAAAGCAATATGGAATTAAACATTAGTTCTTTGCATGGAATATATTAATGAGTCATGATCACCCTCATGCCAGGTAGCTGTTAATAACTGCGGATACTAATAACAGCAGATACTACTACTAATGTTCTTGCAAATGGTTTAATGGAAGCTGTTTAATGCTAGTGAGGAATATGTTCTCTTTCAAGGTAGTAGCAGTTAGGCAGAAATTGTGGGAGGTAACAATGGCGTGATTAAATCTTTGCCAGTTCCTTTTGTAGGGCGTGCTAAGTGTTTTCTCTTGTAAACCACAGTGAGGGTGCTTTTAAGTGCTCAAACATACCCAATCCCATTATACTCCCTCCTTCCCCTCAAAAAATTCTTTTAATTTGATGACTGCCAAATTTATCAGCCTTTTTAACTAAGATGACTGCCTTGCAGTTCCCTTTTAATGCAAGATACCTTATTAATCCTTAATGCAGGCAGAATTTAACACTTGAGTCAAGGGTACAAAATGTGAAACTGTAAACAAAAGGAGTAAATATTTTAATTAAAGATGGGCCCCAATACAAAAACCTGGATATCAGCACACCTGCACGTTAGTAGGTGGTGAAGTGGGAATTTTAATTGACACCCAAATATCAGTAGCCCCATCTCTGTAATGAACTGGGTTGGAACCCTTCTGAGCATTATGGCTTTCAGAGCCAGCTCTGAACGTTGCAGCCTGGACTTGTCTCTAATTTTAATTTTCTAGTTCCTAGCATATGTATCTGTCCGTTGGGACTTTCTGCTACAAATTACTAAAAGATGCTAAGTGACCAGGCTTTCTCACGCACCTTAAAATATGTGGCCAAATTCAACTTTTGGTATATCAGTGCAACCCCAGTGGATTCACTGAGGTTACAGTGGTAAAACTGAGCACAATATTTGGCCATTAGTCACTTAAATTGTGTATATGTGATTCATGGTGTCAAGATGTAGCAGTCAGTGGAGGAGCCCTGTGCCTTCTGGCAGATGCAGATAAAGAAGCAAATTTGGAACAACTGTTCAGTCTCTCTGCATCTTGAGATTGATGGGTGAAGTCTTCTCAATGGAATTCTACAGCATTTAAGGTGTTGAGAGTGTAAAAGGATGTAAGGGAAGGCAGGCAAGGGTAGTGGCTATGATACACTTGAATTCTTCCTTTTGTGTGATTGAGGAGGATGTCCTCCATTTTAAAATGGTTAGCTTGCATATGTGTGGTGTAGCTGGGGGAGTAGAAAAGGGGAGAATATCTAGTAAAACAGGAAAAATCTTATCCCAAAGTGATAATGCAATTGAAAGCCCCGCAGGCTTCATAGAGCAATTATTTATTATTGCATTACTTTTCACTACTCCCAGTTGGGTGAAGGGAACAATATATTTTTTTCAACTACTGATTACATTTGGGAAGTGTATGTAGAAATCCTCCAGGCAACTGGCGTCTGTATTTTAACCACTGTGCAGCTTTAGGTTTCCATAAATATTCATCACTTTCCAAACAGCAATTCAATTTGAAATCGCTTTTATATAAAGTCATGCTTGTACTGTTAATGCTCTGTCTGTTTTCCTTCATTTTTTCCTCTGTATTTAAAATCCACGGAACTGGAGTCTGGTTATATCGCCACTCATTAGGGGGACATTAACAGCTGCAAGATTCGAAGATTTTTTGTGTGTGTATATGCACG